TTAGGCTTTACTATTCATTCATTCTCGATAATTTGAATAAATTTAAAGTGGCATTGTATTTAACTTCCCTCTTGTCTAAAATTAATTAAACGCGACCAATAAAGCAGGCGCATCGAGTTTATCAGTACAAGAGACTGTTTTATTGCATGATACGATAGACAATCAATCCATGCTGCCGCGCTCTTCAACATATCCCTCAATTCGTTCAACACAATGGATGACTCGTGTTTGCATATAATATGGTGTACTGCATTGAATTGAATTTGCAGCATGTAATTTGACAGTTACACACGACTCACCTGTGCATTAATCACCCAACAGAAGCTTCATTTCAATAGGGAATACTTTTTTATACACCCTTTATACCTATCTTATCAATTAATTTTGCTATTCTAATAGCAATGCATTTTTATTGGTCATCACCAGTTGAATAACTTTATTCACAAAATGCTTGTTCATGGCAGGAATATAGGCATGTAACAGAGCTAGTAAAAACGGAAACGGATTCCTTTCAGATTTGAATATGCCTCCTAGCGGCTGTAGTATAAACTTTAAATATAAATCTTTTTCGCTTTTTAAAATTGAATACAACCTACGATGTTAAAATTGTAGCCCCTAGCCATTGTTGAATACGTTAAATTGGATGCTTTTGGCATTTCAAGGGATCCAAGTCAGTTAAGTTAACGCCATGAGTTAACGGCAAACGTGAATGTGAAAGCCATAAACCTTTTACTCACCCTGTGTTTGTTTTTAAGGGACCCATTTTTTTAAGGTGGCTCCCTACTGTTTCTCGAAATTTTTAGATGCACATTTCAAACGGGGGTATTCAGCATCTAAACGTTTGATTAGAAGACTAAAATTTGATATAACTTTCTGGCAACATATCTAAAGCAGAAATCTATTCAGAACTTGTGCTTGGCAGTCGTTGCTATAGCAACAGAGACGTTTCAAAATGGCCGCTAAAAAGGATTTAATCGAGTTTATATCGCAAACGAGTTCGGTGACCTCCAATTTTTTTTTCAGCAAAATTTTACTCTATAGATGTTTTATCGATAGTAAAGTTTGTAAAAATTTTATAATATGTTATTAGCTCAGTGTCAAAAAAAAGGAATAACATAAATAGCTTCATATTTTTCAACGTTTATGTAGATAGCTGTTTCATTTAAAATCTTAACTCGCTTAATCAGGTCGTCAGGAATGTTCTCAACCCAAACCTACCAAACTACTCTACCAAGAATAACTGAACTGTAAAATATATTTAATGAGCGCTGTCGTTGAAAATGAGGTTGAAAACGAAGCCAGAGTTTCAGAGTACTGCAGTTCAATGAGATTATTTAAGCCGGCCAACTCGGTAAAAACCCAGAAAATAAAAAGAAATTAACTCTTACCGATTTACTTAGCTCTTTGAACCTTTAAGTATCGTACGAAAATGTTTTCTTTCATTTCAAAACATTTACAAAACATTCACAACGACAACTCGATGAGGTTGTAAACATTTCAACACAGAGGATATCAGAACAGAGAGGCTCGTCTCTTCCGATTTTTTTTGGCACAGAGGAGATATGGACAGAGGTTTTTTCACACTTTTTTTTTATCAAATTTTCGCCAGGCATATTATATCCTTGGGCTTTCTAAAAAAGATATATTTTATAGCACTTGCCTTACACTACAAAAAAAGTTTGAAACACTTTAGCCAAAGCGTTAAATTTATTTAAATTGCATTTTTACAGGAAAAAATTCCATTTTTCCTTGTTAAAAATGTGCTCGGAGCTTACCAGAAGGGGTAGCGCGTGCGAGTAAACAAGTACGATCGTACTATTGGACCAGGAACTGGTGAAGTATAGATTCAATCTTTCTCTCCAGGATGAAATTTCAAATATCTATGAACCTAGGCAATCTTTCGAACGGTTATGTTAAAATTGTCGTTTTTCTACATTTTCTCGTCTGCAAAGACACTTAAAATGTGCCGAGTTGCACATCTATGTCCTAATCTATGCCGCTGTAGCTGGCGAGAAGCTAGCGTTGCGTGCACCGTGCCACTGTCATTAGAGTCCTTTTTTATGTATGCTGGACAAAGCCTAAACTAATAAATAAAAGATAAGTAATGCCCTAGAGAGAAACGCATTTAACGCAATGGTCCTATAGTCATGAATATATATTGTGTACAAAACAAAGAAAATGCACGACTTTCTGGCTTGAACTCATAGTATGTGAATATTGATAATATTAAAATTTGCCTCCCGCCACAATCTGACATGGCTTGCAAATCTTCTCAAGAATATAAGCACAAACAATTTAACTCCGTAAGTCGATAGAGAATAACGTTTAAGATAGTTGTGTGAAGTTTTATCACGATCTGGTGCGAAATGACGGAGCCTTAGGGCCTGTTTACATGGAGCCAAGTTACCCGGGTAACCGAGTTACTCGCCTTGCCGGGACAAAACGGTACAGTGTTTATATGCAACCGAGTAACTCGGTATTTGTTACGGTACATTGTAATTACATGACGTACTTATTATGTAGGACTCAAAATTTCAAAAAGTTTTTTCAATGGTGGTAAATGAAACGTAAACGCGCATGCGTGTTTAGCGAATATTCTACTCGCCTAGCCGAGTTTCCCGTTGAAAAGTGTTTACATGGTATAACCGAGTAACTCGCCTTGCCGAGAACCCGGCACAGTTTGCCGAGAACTCGGCACGCCGAGTTACTCGGATGCGCCATATAAACAGTGAACCGAGATATCCATACAATATATAGAACAGGCGAGAACTCGGTGCTGCCGAGTAACTCGGTTAGCCGGGTAACTCGGCTCCATGTAAACAGGCCCTTAGCCATTTGAAATTGCTTCAGTTATGCATACTAATATTGAATATAATCTATACGGATTACGTTACAATTTTGAGTTGCTTCTAAATTTCTTTAAAATATAAAAATCAAAATTATAACTCCGTCAATCGATGGGGAATATCGCTAAGGATAGTTGTGCGAAGTTTAATTGCGATCTGATGCGAATTGACGGAGCCTTAGGCTTTTTTAAAGAGCGTCACCCCCTAACAACAACAACAACAACAACAACAACAACAACAACAACAACAACAACAACAACAACAACAACAACTACAACAAGATTAGCCGCGTGTGGGGACCAGGTCCTGGTCCAAAAAGTGGGGACGCGTGGAGCCGCAAGTCGAGCCTCTGTCCATATCTCCTCTGTGTTTCAATAAATTGTTTTTTAGAAACTTATCGGACCTCAAACAGTTCACTGGATGATTTTTATGTATCACATTTATCTAAAATCTTGAATCTAATATTATATATATATATTATTTAAAATATGTTATTATTATGAATCGAAGGATAATATTTATAGTTTACCATTGTGTTGCAATTTTTTTAGCTTCATTCAAACTTTTAGCTGCTCTCAATTAAGGCAAAAATATATTATACATTATTATATGACTAGAATAGTTCATCGGTCCATCAACTAAAATCAAGCATTCTGATTGGTTCCTGAGGGGTCGGTAACCAACAGTACGGATCGGCCAGGTTTCTCTTAATCGTTTTTAGTCATATAATAAATAGTTTATTGACTGAGCTTGTTCGGTCCGTACAGGAGGATACTGGTCTCGTTCTTTTTTCGCTTGATATGAGCTATTCCCCTATCTGATTGGTCGAGCTACCCACCGAATATCAGCTCGTATATGGTGGTAGCAAAACCAAAGAAAAAGCAAAATGGCTGCATGACCGAATTAATTAATTATTATTAATGTAAATGGCTATATTATTAAAGAATTATACCACTCGAACTCGAGCTCGTGGTATAAATGTGCAGTCATGGTCTACCCGAAAGAGTGATTTGAAACAATCCATCTTTCACGGACAATGATTATGAAAAAATGTATACGGTCAGTCTTTCGAGGATGAAAACTCAAAGTATTCATGAAAAATAAGACTTAGAATTCCTGTTTATCAGGGGCCGGTTGTTCAAAAGCAGGTTAAATTTAACCCTGGGTTAGTGCTAAACCTGGGTTAAGATCCTTAACCCTAGGTTAGCTAAACCTGGGTTAAAACTGTGTTGTTCAAAGCAGGGTTAGCAGTAGGGTTAGTTAACCCAGGGTTAAAATATTTAACCTAAGATTAAATGTATTTTAAGGACTAAATTGGATATGAGAACGTTTTCGATTGGTCAATAAACGAGCGTCAAAACTTTACCCGTCGAGGATATATTGTCAGTCGAAAGATTATATGCCGTGAGGGCAGGGTCGAAGGGACGTTGTTTTGAACATCAATTTCCGTGCATGGAATTTTGGAAAGATTCGAAATGAAAGGCCATTTTGTATGATAAACAATGTCGACGTGAAATAAAATCAAGCAAATTATAAACAATCTATTTTAAAATTTCAGGCATTCTTTGATGATTCAAAATTCAGGAACAAACGTAGCCTTACCACTTGCTGCCAATCAAAAGAATCGAATTTTGGCATCCGAAACAAATATTTCGATTACGATGTTTCAATTTGTACGGTTGTATTCATTTATCGTGTATTGCATTGAAGCGAAGATAAATAAATCAATACATCAGCTGAAACCGAACGAAGTCAAACTTAAATAATTCTTTGCTGTCGAAATTATTCGTAAAACTTTTCAAAAGTGACAAATTCATGACGAATTATACGTGTTTACGTGTTTCAGCTCCTTATTCATCCATTTTGAATCGAAGTTGACCCAGGATTAAAAAGTTAACCCACCTAGCTAGCAGGGTTAATTTTTTTATCAATTTTAACCCAGGGTTAACGCTAACCGAGCTTTGTGCAACGCAAATCAACTAAGGTTTAAAATTTAAACCTGGTTTAGGCATTTTTAACCCTGGGTTAGCGTTAACCGGCTTTTGAACAACTTGCCCCTGCTGTTCAAGCTAATATCATTAATATCAATATGTTAATGACATTTATATAATGCGGCGTGGGCTGCTTCAGTAAAGCATCCGGTATATGATTATAAACACGAGACATGAAATCTTATATAGCTACATGGCGAAGAAGTGCCATTTAGTATAATACAGTGCGGTTTTCAATTTGATTCCTAACACTATTGCAAATCAGAAATAACGGTCTGGACCTTCGTTTATTTCAGAGTATGTGAAAAGATCCATAAACACATAAAGTAAGTATTCTGTCATATTTAGACCAAAATGTTTCAATTTTCACGCAGAAATGTTGCATCGCTATTGGCTGCAACATAAGCTATACTTTTTCAGTCAGAGTTTTTATGCCTGGGCTACATAAAAGAAAGATATCAGATAATTAGGAATAATTATGGTAGGTAAATTTGAACAATAATTAATTAACGATTTACTCTGTAACGATTTGCTTTGTTGTCTAAACATTATTGTATATGTATAATAACAGTATTTTATCTTTACAAGAACATACGAAATGCATGCGTTTCAATTCTTCATCATACTATTCTTAAGCCAGATTCTTTTCAGAAGCATCAGGTGACATTGTTAGCTGGACGTGTTATGAGATTATTATGAGATTGGTTTATCAGCGGAAATCCGCGAGATTTACAATGTTTAGTGCAGTATTTTCCGGGATTTAGGAAATGTTTATGATACTGTCTGACTATTCTGATCTAGGCAATATACAGCTCCACCACATTGCTCAACTATCTTTGTTACTCCAACAATTCACTCTTGATTTAACCGATATATGTGCAGATAGCCGGGACATGCCTGTCACAGTAATGAATGATTTCAAATAAGGTCACCCGTTCATTTCTATTATACAAATAAAGTTTCACATGCAACGTTTCTGTCTGGCTCTTAATTAATCGATACCCGCTGTGTCCCAGCTGTAAAGAAATCAGAAAGTGCGTAGGTTTAAACGGTTTAGAATAAGATTTCCTCGTATGTATATTGTTCATGCATGTGTGGTAAGAATTAAAGCGGATTGCGTGGGCTGTTTCCTAAAGCATCCGGTCGGAAAAACGAAAGATATGAAATCTAAACGTTGCCTGTCAGAATATTTTTCTGTAAGATCTATATACCACCATTACAGGCCCAAAATCAGAACTGACGTGTGTAGTTTGTTTCAAAATACACTATAATGTCAAAAGTTCTATAAGAATATGAAGTTAGTCTTGGGCCCGTTGTTCAAAGCTAGGTTATCGTTAACCCTGGGTTAAATTTTAACAAGCGTTTTATTTTATGTGCTTTTGAACCACTGTTTGTTTTAAAACTTTAGAAAATATGACTTCTATCGGTCCAGAAAATATTTACGAAAAAAGATATTCAACTTTGTAAACAAGCGATTAAAAATATTAACGTAAAGATTTCCTTTAACCCAGGGCTAAGCTAACCGGCTTTTGAACAATCGGCCGCTGGTCATATGATAACCGGCACGTAGTAATGTAACTACATGCATACAATGCTAATAACTATATATATATTATGTCTCAGCCGTATCAGTTGAAATGTAATGAGATATTATGTCATAAGGCTAAAATTTAATGTGATACGCACAGGATGTATAAAAAAGGCAATCACTTAAGGTGGTCCACTACAAAAAATCATGATTTATCCTGTTTTAAAAATTTCAAGGGATGCAGACTTAAATGTATCCCTAAGCGATCCTGAATAATGTTTTTCCAAAAAATATACAAAGACCGCTTTTCTTAGCAAACTAAAATTCTCAATCCCCTTACTTTCGTGCACGATAACTCGAAAAGTAATAAAGCTAACTTGATAAAATTCTCGTGGTTGACTTTAAAGCCAATTGGCTCGGAGGTGAATTAAAAGTTTTGTATTCCATTCAGTCTAAGTAAAATAGCGACTGGTTTTTCAGATATATCATGGACGTTTTATATTAGTATAGCATGCATGTAAAACGTTTAATACTGGACAAGTTTTTTTTATTCTAGTTCAGCTCTGAGGCAAAGATATTTAAAACTAAATAAAACCAATTCCGTCATTCTAGAGTTATAACCTAGTTTGTTATCGTGTTTACAAAAATCATTTACCACTATTTGGTAGCTATGTCTGGTCATGGTAACTCACAGACCCCTGAGCAGGGGCCAGCCGCGAGGCCAAGGACCCCCACTTTTCTGATAGAAAAAACCCAATAGAAAAAGTCCCACTAATAGCTAGCTTCATCCCACATAGGGTATGTTCTCGGGCTATTCCGAGACCCCCTCCCCCACCCGCTTTTAAACAGGCTCGGCGGTCCCTGTAACTATAGTGATTGCATGAGGACTCCTACAAGTATTTTTTCACTCAGAGCAACTTGGCATGAAGAGATTTATATATTTTTTATCATTAAAGAAAAAAATTTTCTGTAGTGGACCACCTTAAGAACAATATGAATATTATTAATTATAAGGTACAATAATTATAGTCATACAATAGTACTTCTAATAATGTAGCTCACAAATTAAAGTGAGTATTTTCTAATATTAGATGATTGCCTTTCTTTTATCCCCCAGTATATAAGCACATAAATATGGCGTAAACGTGCCGAGTAAAATTATGGTCATGTTTATGATTGTAGTGTGTAGAGGTTGGTCGCAAGATACAAGTTCACGATAACCTCGAAATGAAACACTCCCTTTGGAATATCAGTAAGTCTAAATTAACGGTATATTTAAAATTATCTCCCAATATAATATCAGTCTCTTAAAAGTCTTGGGATTTCCAGAGGAGCGTTGCAAATATTCTGATGCATGCATGTCGCTATACATGGTGATCTATTCAGTACCGCCTAGCTCTATTGATTTTCGATCTCGAATGCACGATTCCTTTAGGCTGCTGCTTTCCACTGTCGCGTTTTTTGCACTTACGTACTCGCACGTAAAATCTTAAAATCTTCTAAGTTGTTGTATACTGATTAATGCCAGAAAAAACACACTAAATCATCAACAGAATCCACCCTATGCATCTATATACCGTAGTAATGATTTTAAACTTATTAGCACGTACGTACGTACAAAAAACGTCACAGTGGAAAACAAACCTTTGTTGCAGAAGCCCCACAGGTGTTGGGATTTCGGTTTGATAAAAGATCAACCCTAGATTAAAGATCAACTATGGATACTGATACCTGGACTATTGATAACACTATAAAAAGGCCGCTTTTAGAACAATATCACGATAAGCTAAGAAAGCTAACTTTGTCGTCATAGTAAAAAGGATTTTTCGTTCTAACTTCTAACTGCATGCTGCTTAGTAACATGGCGAAGTCAGATGCATTCAAATCGCCATTTCACAAATCTGTCACCAAGTCCCCGGTCTCGAATTGCTAGCAATATTACTTTTTATTTATTTTAGGAACTGTTATTTTTATTATTTTATTGCCACATGTCATTGCACTGTATGAAGACCTTAGTGAGATTTGTTTAGGAGAAAGATATACACAATATTATAGTGAGTACAATAATCGATTATTTGAATAAGTATATTTTGTTTTTATATTAATAAGTATAGTATAAGGCGAATATGTATAAAATAAGTATAGTTTTGTTTTTATATCAATAAGTATAAGTATGTATATTTTAATAAGTATTTGAATAAGTATATATATGTGGAAACGCGCGGGCGAAACAAGGGAGAAAGAGGGACAAGGAGGTGGTGGTTGCAATCAACCTCCAATAACTTGAGAAACGTTAAAATCTGGGTGGAACATGAGGGAAATGTTAGTTAAGTCTCTTACTTATTTTCTCCAGCAGAGAGATTATTTCCCGCCTGCCCTGTAATGATACGTTCGTTTTTTTAAAATCTGGTTTCTAGTTTAGCCTGTGTGTACACGGTGTCTCAAAAAAAAACGCAACCACTTAAATATGCAAGAATTAATATATGCGCGTGTCAATAGCCTATATTAATATATGCTTGGAGTTTTTTTCCTGAAGCCTCGTCGTTAAATTTGTATACTATTAGTGAACGAAGATTAAACTTTGTTTCTTTTAAAGAGTCTCTTCAACCGAATATATCCTACGTTGCGGTGCCATTTCCGTTTGTAACAAACGAAACGAATGTAACACTGACATGTGCTGGGCAGGCCAAGGTTCAGATACAGGACACAGCTAGGTACATAAGGGTTATGTTCCAAAAGAATAATAAGATGTTTCACCAATGTAGAAAAGAAGGGGTGCGTATTTCAAGAATATCCTGCAGTATTAGCGTCACTGGACTCACCAGCAACGACACATTTACATGCATTATTAAAAGCGGAATGGCACCATGCAACGCCGCTCGCCTGAGTTTTCAAGTTGAAGGTAAGTTTCCGTAATATAATGCAATAAAGAGTAATAGAGCTATTTTATTTCTTTTCTCAAAGCTAATAATAAATAACAAGCAACTTCATCTTGCCTTCAATCGGGCAAGTTTGATTTCGATCACTTATTCATTGGTGGTATCTTTGGGAAGCTGAATAACTGCTCTTTTATATACCTATATACCGCATAGGATTAATAATAAAACAATAAATTCAATATATCGATTTTACTTCAACTAATACAGATGCATGCATCCACCTTTTTTTAGGACTATCTTCTCTGAATGCTTCACTTACGTATGCCACAATCAGAAACGACTTAAGAAAAATTGAAGTATCTTGTATCGGTACTGGAATACCTGAACCTGATGTGGTATGGTTATTAAACGGCTCTATGATCAATCACACAAGTACTCAATATGATACGAAACGAAAACGTGAAATTGGCCAAAATGCGTATCGCGTGAATTCAACAATCATCATTAGTGGAAGAAAATTCCCGATGAGCATACGTTGTGTAGTGCAAAATGGAAAATATAAAGTTCACTCGAGAACTGTGTATGTATTACACGTTGAAGGTGAGTATCGTGTACCACACAGGAAAGTGGTGGATCCAGGAAAAGGCAGAATAAAATTACCACAGTTGCAATTTGTAATCTGATTGGTAGATTTATAGATTTGAAGATTCTTTAGAAATCTATAGAGAGTGGCGTATTTCTGAGGAATTTTTTATGTCAACATTTAACATGTTTTAAAAAATGTATGTTTTCAAGTTGTTGGCGTGGAACAGACAAACGCAATGGTTCGCTGGTTCGGTCTTTCAGCTTTGGGTACACGTCTCATGAATGTTTCTGTTTTTACCGTTACCTTGAAGTGTGGCAAGGAATTTAATAAAACCATCACAATATACAACAAGTCAAGCGTTATATTCACAGATCTCACGAGAGGTAGAGAATATGTCATAGAGGTTGAAGCATTTACGAAGAGAAATGATGTAATCCTAGGAGCTGCAAAGCTTTTTCTACCAGGTACTATGAACTAACTCCCCTACATATCTATGCAAGTAAAGCCCAATACCTCATGGATCAAATATCACCAAATATCACGATAGTAGCATAGTTACTAGTTAGTTCGCACAATTTGCCACCACTGTGATTCAATAGTGCATGCTTCTAAGACGTTTTGGAATAAAAATCGAATAAAAGAAGTTTTGGAATAAAACATCGGCATACTGTCGCAAGAAAATTTAAAGCAGAGCAAGTATGATTTCCTTAGTTTTGGGGGTGATCTTTTTTATAATATTAAATATAATATGTTCCATCACCTGAACGATAGAAAACTCGGAAATTATTTCATTCTTTATTTTGGAAGGGCATGTGAATTTACCCCGAGTATTTTATTTCGTGTGCGGGATTTTCAATAACTCCTGTAAGTTATGTATAAGTGGCCATTTGGGTAAAATTCGTTCTGTTAACAATATGCGTGCGTTGCATGCAGAGGGCTGCTTTCCAAGATAATTTTAACAAAGCTTCCCTGTTTTGCATCACCACACCAACCTTACTCATGTAAACAGTGTTGAAATGAAGTCGGCCCTTTCTTAATTCTGATTCAGTCGGGATGATCGAATTGAAGCAATCTATTATTAGTTTTAAGACCTTAAAAGAGGGGGTATCCGCCCACGAAATTAACTTGAGAGACGTTTCATTGCATGGGCGGATACCCGGAGTTCAAGATCTATAACTAGAATAATATACCGACCTTATAAGAACCCCGCTCTATTGAGTGAATACCATGCCTCAGGGAAAATACCCCGGGTGCGAGCTATTCAGGACACGGTGGTCATGTGGTATATGAAACAAATTTTGTGATTGGATAAGTATTTTTTGGTATAATAATATTCCTAGCTGTTTTCATTTGCATAAATAGTATCATAAAATGCGTATAACGTGTAATCGCACTCAATGTTGATCTAATCGCATCTTAATGTTTTTTTGGTGGGGTGAATTAACATCATTTCGACACCAATACATTGAGAGAGCCCTTTTGAAGGAGCCGCGATACATTATTTTCCTTCTTAGATAAACTTCCCAGGCCAAGTCATGTCTACCTTGCAAAGATTACTTCCAAAAGAGCAGTGGTTAAATGGGAAAAGATTTCAGCAAACCAAAAAATTCATGGCGTTTTGCTGGGGTATAAATTGACGCTTATTGGCAAGACAAGGGAAATAGATTTCACTCTGGCAAACCACACTAATCACGTAGTGTTACATGACCTAACCCCGAGATCTAATTATACCCTCTCAGTACGAGGATTCACACAGTATGATGATGGATATATTGAGCTTTTCAACTTTTCATCATTAGGTATGTTGTGTGTAGTAACATAGCTACACCAAGTCGTTACATAACTGTAGAAATTTAAAATATTTTCTGTTAAAGTGCCTATATCACTTGTGGGATCTTTACGGATTTGAATAGAGCTTGAAAAAATAGTTTATAAGTTCTACAACCCGTTTTGATATAATTAAATAGTTTCGAAAATACGTCGGTTGGGGGGACTGGGACTCAGGAATGATTTGCAAACACGCCGTCTTTTATAATGTAAACATGAAGAGTTTCACTGGCGATATAGTTTGCGCTTTTCAAAAAAAAATGCGGGAACGCTGCGTTGTGTATGGCTGTAGCAACTGGGCGAGTTTTTCTTAAAATATTTTATGTTATTGGAAGATCAAAGTAAAATTACAATTGATTATATTATGTTTGACAAGAACTCGGTTCCTGAGTCCCAGGCGCCCGAGCACGACGGAAATTTAGGCAAATCGTCATGTTTAGATGTAAGTATTTCCGAAACTATTTAATTCTGTCAAAAACGGTTGTAAAACTTATAAACTAATTTTTCAAGCTCTACTCAAATCCGTAAAGATCCCACAAGTGATATAGGCACTTTAGATGAACTTAATTGAATACAAATGATATTTCTTTTCCCTCCAAATACTGTTAAAGTAGCTTCATTCGCTCGCTACCGGCGGGTTCTTCACCCCTGAGTGTCTTAATAACAAGAGATCGTTTTTTTTTTAAATCATTCTGATAGCTTACACCTGCAAGGAATTCAGGTTTTGCCCTCAATTCGGACCTACCAATTTTTGGCATAGATTGACACCCCCGAATCATGCTATATTTGTGCAATTAAGGGTTACAGACTATTGTGAGTGGTTTGTTCACAAATAAACGCACGCGCTGACCATACAATAAACGAGAAATTTCAATATTGCACGAGGTGTATGGTTCCGCTAACGAGTGAATTCACGAGATGTATGTTCAGAAAGTGCGTTTATCTGTAAACAAAATACGAACATAAAGTCTCTAACACTTTTAATATACGGTACAATCTGGGTTTATTGATTGCTGCATTGAAGATCCAAGCTTCGTTGCAGTCTGTCATTTTTTAATAAACCATGATTTTCATGGGTTATTGCGAATAAATGATTATTCCCATGATCTGTCGCCAGGCAACAAGAAACCACGTGATTGATTTTGACTAATCGCGTGAGTAGATTTAGCCCAATGCACGAAGATTTTATACAATATTGCTTGAATTGTTTTAGATGTAATTCCTGCACCGAAGAACGTGCAGATTGTTATCTTGTCCAAAAATTCAGCTGGGGTTCAATGGACTCTCATTCAGCAACACAAAGAAAAACACGATGAAATTATTGGCTATAGAGTTATTGTGAGAAATGCAATACATTCTTTCAAGGTTGACACTTTAAGTGTCACGTATTCGGTTGCTCTCAATCATCTTTTACCCGAAGCAAATTACAGTGTATCAGTTTTCGGCTTTGGTAATGGAACAAAAGGAATTTCAAGCAAATGGATACATTTTAAAATAAATGGTGAGTTGTGATCATAACACTTTTGTAAGGCCTGGTTCTCGTTTGTCACCGACGGTCGGCGATGGCTATTGTCGGTGATCACTGATGAATGAAGTGTTTTGTTCTTTCCAATTAATTTTCTTCGTCATCGGCCACAATACATCGCGGACGGTTGGCGAATTGTTGGAATTCATATATTCGTCTTATACCTGACCGATTTCTTTTTTTTGTACGCTGTTGTTCCTACGGTATATTTGCATGAATATATGTACTGCAAATTACACTTATCCCATAAGTCTCGTTAAGATTTTACATCATTTTTTTTCACTGACGTTTCATGCAGAGGTGAACGAGTGAATTAGTTACTAATGTTCAAATAAGAGCTCTTAAAACTACATCAGAGCATTCGCAACGTATAACTCGTTCACATCTATTGAAAGAAGAAAATCGCACGTAAAATAGCAGCAAAATTCGCAAGTGTAAACGGGCGACCTCTTTTGATAGATGTAAATGAGTAGTAATGTATAAGAGCTCTTATTTCAACATCAGTAACTAATTCACTCGTTCTCATATATTAAAAGAAGAAATTCGCACATAAAATCGCTGCAAAAATTGCAAGCGCAAACGAGCCTTTAGAATCGAATCAGGTTATTTGTTGCGGAGACACCGCTGCTGCTATATCACGTTGCTTAACATCTCAACAACGTACAATTAGCCTTTCGCACGACGACATTTTCTTCAACTCGGTATAAAAAATTATAACAACATGAAAAGCATTTTTTTTAATCAACAGACCCTTTGAAGAATAAAGTCTCAATAAATCTGGCCATATTCATCGTCGTGGCATGTGTTTGTGGTATATTATTTAACGTAATATTACTGATAACAATTTCTTTTCTTAGATCGTGAGGGGCCATCTGGAGTTAGTAATAAAGGAGGAACTAACACAGACGGAAGGAACTTTACTTTAACAATCATCGTTGTTTTGATTGTCGGAGTTTTGTTTTAGGCGACAACTTTTGAGTAGCCACTGTGTCGGATGTTTTACGAATAGTCAATTTTTACGTCACTAATAAAATTTATGGTAAAATAATTTTACAAGTCGTTATATCTCATTGTTTTCCCATGCTCCAAAAAAGCCTAAATTTCACAAAAAGAAATCAGCTTCGCCACCAAAAATGTTGTCAGTGGTTTTTTAATTTACCGAAATATATATAGTTGTGCCAAAACAAGCATTTGTTGTAAATCGATATAATATAAAAATAGCGCCATAGTGGAAAAACATGAGAACATGAATTACAACTAAATCCAATACCTGAACTATATCCATTGGAATATATAGATATTGGCAGAAATCATCACAAATATTGCATTCTCAACGTGACACTACATTATTTTACCGCAAGCAACTGGCAGAATCTCAAATAAACTCTCCTGATTTATGTTTCTTGTTGTATGAGTGTAGACAAAATATGCCTTTTTGGAGAAGCTATGTAGCTGTAAATACTATTTTAAAATCGAAGGTGCCTTTTTTGTTTCCTACGTTAGCATACTTACACGTGCCCAAATCATTTTGATAGAGCATAAATGTAAACTACACTATAGTGGTGTCCTTGCAGCTTTGTCATATATATATTTATATATGTATGTTTTTAGCCGCACTTTTATTTACCAAAAGTGCCCCAGGAAGCTGGTGTCCCCCCAATCTTTGAAAGCTTCCAACGCCCCTGTTTGAAGACTCTGACTGAATTTATTGTCGCACGAGGACGGTTGTATTAAAGCCAAACGCACACCAGCTGCCTCGCACTACCTGCTGTTTTTGATATTTGCCAGGCAGGAAGTTCTACCTTGCAGATGATCTTGACAAGTAAATTTTTTTTACTGAATAGCACTTAATATACACTTACATCCTGTGCTGTCACAATTTAAATATGCATACCTTCAGCTGTTAGGGAGTTTGTTTTCAATAACCTGAGACAAAGAACTTTTGAAAAGAATATATTAACTATTCCAACCTTCCCTCGATAGAGTCAAACTTTTCTAAAGAAATTTCGTTAGATGAGAGAATGCTGCTTATATCAGTATGCTGCGTGGGTGCTTGTTATGACAATATTATTTTACAACATCCGGTGTAAAAGTTGAAGTAAAGCGGAAGACAAAAACCTCTCTTATTCTGACTGGTTTTGAACAACAGAGAGTACGAAGTTCATTATCAACAACAGATTATTTATCCATTCTACAAAAGTATTTGTACAAAGTAAGTATAAACATGGAAGTTAAATAATATTCCGCCGTGAAGAAATATATTCGCATTGTGAACATTCACGGATTATAATTTCGTAGGGATTTTAACGTGATTAATATAGGCTACAGGGTGTCTCAAAAAAATGAAAAATATTGAAATCACCCATAACAATGTAATTGTTAGAGTTTGAATGCCTAAGCACTCTGTTGATATGATATCACAAGATAAGCACTCGTTGTTCCGCGGTCAGCTGTACCATTTTCTTTCGAAGCAACAACAAGGCTATAATTTAAATTTAATCATTTTCACAACTTCAACTTTTTCGTATTCGCATTTTATAAGTTGCATTAAATCTCCACGGGCTCATGAAATTCGTGAACACGGCATTCAAATTTTCACAATGAGTGCATGACTTCAATAGTTTTCGTTTGAGACAACCTGTACAATGAAATATGATTATCTCAGGGGGCGTGCGGTGTTAACACTGATTCAATACAAGAGAACCTGCATTGTTGGAGCGTTTTCAATTGATGATTCAAAGTGAAGAATTTTGACGTAAGCACTCATTTTCTTTAAATAAGATACGGACTTACGGAAATGCTGCTTTGTCATACTCCATATATGTTTTATCATACCATAGGCATAGTATATACCTATACAAATATCCAAAAATTTTCGTGGAAGTTCGATAACCGCTTCCCTTAAAAATTTAAATAACATAATTAAGTAGTTCCTGCATGGGTATAAGGACGATTAGTTGTATAAAATTGTGAAGAATTCGAAATAACTGGAAACAAATGCAGGTTGACTATATTTGTCTTATGCCAGTTACAAATATTGCTAGTTGTATTCTGTGCTGGCGTTTCAGTGGAATATTCAACCCATTTATACTTGTTGACTTTGAACATTAGCAGGCTTCAGATTAATTAATCCGATTATCAGCTTAAATTATCTTATGATAATATTGTTTTATATAATATACGACATTTCAAATTAAGCGTCTGTTTAACATTTTCAAGACAAATTATTTCATATTCAAATCGTTAATTAAAATATGAA